GATAAACATTGATTAATTTTAGGCCATGCAGTGGAACCTGTCACCTAATGGGACTGCATTCTGAATGGAACATTCCGGCTCTTCAATTTTTTAAGCAATTTAGACTATAGCAAGAAAATGTGCAGCCTTTTGGGCAAAGCCCCTGGAACGAGGCCTACCCATTATGGACTGTGGTAACTTTTGGTGGTATTTTTAGTATTTATTTTAATGGAGGATCAAATGCTTTCTAACTGGGCCCCTGGCAGTTCCCTGTGAGGCCTGGATGGGTCACCTGCCCTCTCTGGAACTGTTTCTTCAACTGGAGGAGGGTCTTGCCTATGCTGACATTGCATTGTAGAAAAATGGGGCCTCTGGTTTCTCTTTACCAGGGGCAGTGCCTCTCTGCGGGGGAGGAAAAGCTCAAGGTTAGTTGTCTTAATGCAAGTGACTTACCAGGCCTACAGAGTCCAGTCCAGTCATTTGTTGGACTGGGCTCTGGCAGATGGCCTGTTGAGGGTCAATTTGAATGTGAGGGCTGCGGTGCGGTTTCAAACATTCATGATGGATGTATTTTCCTACCCCTAACTTAAGGAGGAAAAAAAAGACTTTCTTTTTTTGTCAAAGTCCAGAAAAGGGCCTTTAGCCTTTAGCAGGAGCTTAAATTGTTGGGGCCCCTCTACCTCTCTCAGGGCCAGAATTGCCCAATTTTTGGTGGACGAGCCCTTCAGGGTTCTGCTGTCAGCCCCACCTGGACAGAGGCTTACAAGACTAGGGTCTGGAGCAGAATCTGTGTATTTCTGTCTGGGACCAGGAAGCTGCAGCTGTCCCATCATCCCCAGCAAATCCTAGAAGTGGAGTCTGGGTACTTCACGGAGAGAGGTGTCGGCACGCACAGCCGTGGACCCAGCTGAGCAGAGCAGATGCTTTGCAAGCTGCCCCTGGCTGCTTTCTCCCTTTCCCGCTTCTGCTCTCTTTATGGACTGGTCAGAGGGTAGGTGGGAAAGAACAGACAAGCCATGGAAGTTGGCAGTGGGGAGATTTCCACCGTGGAAACTGCCTGGGAATTCAGGCCAGCAGCGTCCTCATTCGGCCACCTGGCTATGCCCCTTAAATAAGCCCCTCACCTTGCTGCCTCAGGACCTTCAAGATTCCATCCGTGGGCCGGCCGGCGCGACGGCACCAGTGGGGCCCCACACCCTGGCTGGGCGGAGGTGCTGCTAGCAACCTCTCTTTCTCTGTAGGAGGAAATGGAAAATGCAGGGTGTGGAATTGCCCTTTGGGGTCCTTCCTTAATTGAAGGCCACCTTCTCACAGGTTTCATTCTGCAGGGATTTATTGGAATCTATTGGTGCTGCTGCGTGAGTCTGCTGACAACATGACTACACAAGGACTGGGTAGCAGACTCCTCAGAGTCCTCTTGACACAAATGTGCGATTTGTGTCACTCTTCTGCCTTCGTGAAAAGCCAATAGCACTCTTAGATGTCAGGGGATTTTCGTTCCAAGCAGGGCCCCTGGTTTCCATGCTGCCCTGAGTTGGAGTTTGGATCCAAAGGCTCTGGCTAAGTCATTGTGTCACTTTTTCACAGGAATGTAAATTTGACCATCACTCTGAATTTGTTCAGTACCCCACCATGGTCTATGAGAAGTACACTGGAAGCGTGGGGGGAACACATGACATGATTTGTAAATAGCATCATCTTTGCCAGACAAGTCTCCAGAGGATCCCTGTTTCTCAACTGAAAGGTGTGAACAGACACACACATGGCCTGGATGACACCTTGGCTGTTCTGAGGGGCTGTCAGGTGGGCTCTGGGCCTTCCAGCTAGGCTCTCAAGCACAGCAGAAGCCTCACTGGCTGCTATGTCTCTATATCTGTGGCTTGTGTGGTAACCTCAGAAGCAGAGCTGTTTGGCAGACTGGCTGGAGAAATTCCCTCTGGGAGACTTGCCTGTGCTGTGCTTCCAGGTCACAGAGCCCCCCAGAAACTCACAGGGGCCCTCTTCCCAGGAAAGAATCTATTCTATCACTTCAGAATCAGGACACTCAAGCTCTGGCAGAGGCAGGCCAAGTTACTTTCATGGTCTTACCCTCTGCTTTTCCCCTTTTTGCAAAAACCTATCAGCCAAATCCGAAACATTGCCCTTGTTCCCCCTACATTCCCTCTCAGATCTCTGTCTCAAAGGGAAAACACAGTAGATGAAAAGGTGTGGCAGGCTTTGGCAGCTTATTAAAATCTAGTCATCTGTCGATGTTACCTTGCTTGTCCACAGCAGCCAGTCACCCTGGCAGTCACACTTCCTGGATAATTCTCTACCCTCACCCCACAGAGCCATCTCTCTCCAGACCAAAAGCTGGAAGGAGAGTTGTTTTGAGAGCTTGTTTTTACAACTGCACGTTTATTATGATACTTTCTCTCCAAAGGAAACTTTATAAATCAATGGGAACAATTAGCAACAGAAAGAGCACAGTCCCTGCTTTTGACTGGGTTTCTATTTTAAGCACAAATGAGATCTCTGGAGCCAGAATGCCAGGGTTCAAACCTCACCATTGCCACTTACTAGCTGTATGATCTTGGCCAACTTCACTTCCCTGAACCCCAATTCCAAAGTTTGTGAAATGGCGACAATACCTATGTATCACTGGGTTATTGGCTAAAATGGAATGAGATTCCTTGTGTGAAAACAGCTATTATACCTGACACTCATCGTATAGGCTCTACAAAGGGATGTTCCCCAACCTGTCCTTCCCGACAGGAAGCATAGGGCACTGCAGATGGGGAAGCATGTCACCTTGGCAGTGACTCTGTGGCTTCCCAAGCAGGAGTGTCAGGGGAACCATTAGACAGAGTCTAGGAGCCCAACGCATCGCCATCCTGAGCAGACACGGGAGTGGGGAGGGGGCTGTGACTCAGTGAGTGACTTTCAGGGGCCCCAGGCCCTGCGGGATGTAGGCCAAGCCCTACAGCTTCCCTGGGCAGTAAGTAAAAACATTCTCCTAGCATTAAAATGGTTTCCATAACTACTTTTGTTCTGGCTTAATACCGGGTTCCTGGCATGCAGCCAAGAACTCTGCTTTTCCGTGGTGCTTATGTGTTGAGTAGATTAGCTGGGGAGGGATATTCCTTGTTTAATGGCAGATCCAGGACACTCAGGAAGCTCTGCCCATTGACTTCACCTTACCAGGTGAGAGTAGCACTGCTTGGAAGGCTGCTCCTGTCTTTTAAAGCCTGTCTACTTATTAGCTCCTCCACCAAAAAAAGGAAAAGAATTTGCTGTTAGAAGGCTAGGGCAGGACACTGACAGTCATCAGGATCTATGTTTGGCTTGTGACAAGTGGCTACACTCCCACGGCTCAGGTACTATTGGGGGATATTGAGCCTGCTTCCTAACCCCACTGACCTCCACTGCATCATTTGGAAAACGGAGTCTCCCTGTCATTCTCTGATAGCTGTTAGTCAGGAGCTGACCTCACAGACAGGGGCACTTTCCCCTCCTATCCAGGTCACTGGTGACACTGGGGGATGGGAGGTCACTCCTTGGCAACACTTCTGAGACTGAAGTAGTTTTCTGAACTTGTCCTGGGCCCAGAAGGAAGATACTAATCCCACCTCTGCCACTTGGCTGCTGTGTGGCGCTGGGCAAGTCTCAATCACTGGGTGTCTATATGCTCAAGTACAAAAAACACTATTAAGACTTATAGATGGGCACAATAGCTCACACTTGTAATCCCAGCACTTTGGGATGCTGAGGCAGGAGGATCACTTGAGGGCAGGAGTTTTGAGACCAGCCTAAGCAACATAGTGAGACCCCATCTCTCCAAAAAAAAAAAAAATCAGCCAGGTATGGTGGTGTGTGCCTGTAGTCCCAGCTACTTGGGAGGCTGAGGCAGGAGTACTGTCTGGGCCCAGGAGTGTGAGGTTGCAGTGAGCTGTGACTGTGCCACTGCACTCCAATCTGGGCAACAGAGCAAGACCCTGTCTCCAAAAAAAAAAAAAAAAAAATTATTTCTCAGGACCTTCAAGACTAAATGCTAATTAGATAAAAGTGCCAACTATGAGGCGAGAGAGGCGACTACTTAGATCTTGGGGTATCTTGGTCCATTTGTGTATCCTCTTCAATTCCCTAGCACCCCTTGAACTAAACAGCTGTATTGTATTGTGCCCCGATAAATACCTGTTTGGAAGCCAGACAGTTATGCAGAAATCTGGGCTTCTCCCATGGTTGTGGGAGTTGTGGATACTCACCTACACTGATGCAGACAAAGCTGGGGCAGCACCAGGAAGTCCCTAGTTCTCTGGGCACACATTTATACCAGGCTGACCAAGCCTTGAGTTCCTCTTCTCCCAAGGAGCTCAGCTAAGGGAACACAGCATGGCAAGTGCTATGAAGAGGGTAAGCATGGGATACTAAGGGAGCCCCAGGAGAAGCACTGCCCCCCCCCTTAGAGGCTCAGGACTAAAGGATCCATAGCAGTGCTCTGGAATGGAGAAGACCAAAAGGCAATCCAGACCGATGGAAAAGCCTATTCTGCACAAAGGCTCAGGACAAGAGAAGGGGTGCATGGAACTGTGGGCAGGAGCCTGCTCTGTCACAGAGGAGGGGAGTGGAGACAAGGCTGGGGCTAGATCCTGAGGGCTTCACACGTCAGACCTGTGACTGTTACTGTTGACTCTGTGATGTGAGGGAAGCCTGAAGACAGCAACCTCATCCCTGCCCACCTCCCACAGTGGCTCAGACAATAGCCAAGAATTTGGGAGAGAACTAAGGAGCTATTAGGGTGCTGCTCTGGGTAAAGCAGGAACATGTGCCTCTTGAACATTCCAGCCTCTTGCTCTATCCACACTGTCCAATCTTGGCCTGCAGCCAGAGGCCTGACACTATTCCTGTCTTTTCAAGGGCTTAGCACTGTGCTGGCCCAGGAGAATCACTAAGTTAATAATGAAACAAACGACACCACGCCCCCAACCATCTTATAGCTAAAAAAAAAAAAAAAAAAAAAAAAATTCAGGATGACACAATGGCTCCGACCATTGTTTTTAATTTATGAAATCAAGTTGAACACACAAGAAGCCTATAAACACTGCAATACAGAAAAATTAAGCTGCTGCATAGAATTCTTACTCCAAAACAATGCAAATCTGCATGAGGTCTCTCCTGCTATGGGTGTGAGTAGAAGAGAGGGAGACGTTTTTACCTGGGGTTGATGGTGGAGTGAAACACAAGGGTGGGAGAGGTTTTGCAAATAGCCAGAGAACAGAGAGCAATGTGCAGTCACTAACACACTTGACCAGGGCAGTTAATTTGCACTTGTACTTGGCTGTGGCTGTTCCGGCTGCGGCTCCTTTGGCTTCTTTGTCTTCTTCTTCTGCTGCTTGGAGAGACAGCTTAAAGCAGACTCGCTCTTACTTGGGGCAGACACAAGCAGGGGCGGCTTGCCAGACTGAGTGGGATACTTGGTTTTCTGGCTCTCCGTAAACAGCGGCTGGGAGAGCAGGTGGCGCAGCTCCTTCTTCAGAACCTTCATCTGCTTTTGTCTCCGACGCTCTTCTTGCTGGTCAGCTTTTCCTCCTTGAAACACAATACAAAAAAGATTCTATTTACTATGGTTTGTAGAAACATTTTGTTTCCCTTGATGGATAACACAATGAAAAATGTTTTAGAACTACTTTAGGGAGGCAAGGTTCAAAAGTTCTCTGAAGAAGCCAGTGGTGGCTTGGCAGGGGCAGGGGCTGTAAATGGATAACCTCTAACCATTTGCCGGGGATACGCAGGACCGCTCTGTCCTTTTACTTCATAAAAATCCTCCAAGGCTGGAATTATGTTTATAGATGAGGCAATTCAGGCTTAGAGAAGTCACCTGGCTCACATCACAGAGCCAGCCGTCAGACAGAGCCCAGAACCCAAGTCTCCTGACTGAAGATCATTTTTCTTCCTATGACCCACCCACTTACTGCCCAGCTGGGGTTTGGTGACTTCACAAGTACAACCACCCACTGCCCCCCACCAGGAGACACTGAATGCTTCTTTGTAGCCCAGCTGTCCTGTGCCTTGCCACCAGTGCTGTGACTGCACATGGAGAGGCTGGAAGAGACAAAGGGTTCTACCTCAGCCTGTCTTCAGGAAGGGAAGCCGGGCCCAAGCCCCAACCCTGAGCCACCAGGAGGACCAGCTCACTGTCACCAAGCCCACTGGTTTGGCTCCTGGCTTCCATGCTGAGCAGAGAGCAGTTAGTCTGTCTCTGAATTTGCTGACTTGGGCACCGAGGTGTCAACATCTCTGCTGAGCCGCATCCTTGGTGGTGTGGAAGGAGCATGGAGTTCTAGATTTGGTTCTACCACTTCTTAAGACTCAGGAGCTTTCTCAAGCAGGGAACGAGCAGACTCATCACTGAAGCCTCAGCCTCTGGTCACATACAGAGTAGCAGCTCAGGAAATGCCTTGTGACAGAGCTGTTGCCCTGCAAAAAGTGCCTCTGCTGTATCTAGTTCCCATATGTAAAAAGAGAGTACTTCCTGCTGTGTTCATGTCATGAGAGTGGAGAAGATCAAATGAGATAATGGCATGGAAGTGCTTTGTCAGCTTGGAAGGCAGGTGTAGTAGGAACCCTAATGACAAGTAACTTAAAATGTAGTACTTTCTATTTGCCAGGCAATGCCACAAGCACTTAACATTTTTTAACTCAATCAGTCTTCACAACAATCCCATGAAGTAGGTAGTTGACTACTTCCATTTTATGGCGGAGAAAGCTGAGACACAACAGAGGTTAAATAACTTGACTCAGTAACATAGTTAAGGCAAGGAGCCGGCATTCTAACACAGGCAGCCTGGCCAGAGAGCCTGCTCCCTTCCTCACTGTACTCCACTGCCTGTCCATGTAAGAGGAGGCAGCTGAGGGCACAAGACAGAGACAAAGGAAACAAAGACTGACCGAGGCCAGTAGGCTCATCTGGGACTAGGGCCTGTTAGCAAAGAGGGGGGAAGGACGTCTTGCTGATTCTGACAAGATCCACAGTAGTAGAGATGGTTCCAACAAGGCAAAAGTTAAAGAGAGATTTCAACTTCCTCAATTCCCGTCCCACCCAAGGGCTTACCCTTATACATGTCTTCTTCCAGCTCAATCTCCAGGGCAGCTGCTGCCTGCTCAATCCAAGAGTTGTGCAGGCAAGCCTGGAAGTTCCGATACTCAGATTTCTCAATCTGTCGAGCTAAACGGATTCGCTCCTGGGGGGAAGTAACAGAAAATATTCATCTGGAACAGAGTTCAGGCCTCTGGGAAGCAAAGTCTCACTTGAGTTGTGGTTGTGTGTTTAAGGCAGGTATCACTCTGCTGCCCAGGCTGGAGAGCAGTGGCACGATCATGGCTCACTGCAGCCTCAACCTCCTTGGATCAAGTGATCTCCCACCTCAGCCTCCCATCCCAAGCAGCTGGGAGGCACCACCATGCCTAGCTATTTTCATTTAATTTTTTTATTTTTATTTTTATTTTTTGTAAAGACAGGGTCTCACTGTGTTGTCTAGGCTGGTCTTGAACTCCTGGGCTCAAGTGATCTTTCCACCTCAGCCTCCCAAAGTGCTGGGATTACAGGCGTGAGCCACCATGCCCAGCAAGTAGTGTTTTTAAAAAGCTCTTGAGCCAGGCATGGTGGCTCATACCTGTAATCCCAGCACTTTGGGAGGCCAAGGCGGGCAGATCACCTGAGGTCAGCAGTTTGAGACCAGCCTGACCAACATGGAGAAACCCCATCTCTACTAAAAATACAAAATTAGCTTGGCATGGTGGCACATGCCTGTAATCCCAGCTACTCGGGAGGCTGAGGCAGGAGAATCGCTTGAACTCAGGAGAAGGTTGTGGTGAGCCGAGATTGTGCCATTGCACTCCAGCCTGGGCAACATGAGTGAAGCTCTGTCTCAAATAATAATAATAATAATAATAATAATAAATAAACACATAAATAAATAAAAAGCTCTTGAGATCAGTGGTGAGATGCAGTTCAGTTCCTATTGAAACGCATTTGTTTTGTTTCCTGATAAAAGCCCAGTGGGCAACCATTACCCGTCTGTGTGTACACATCTAAACACAACCGCTAGCTTTCCCAACAATCAACCTCAACAGCCACATCCTTTGAAAACCCTTACTGGTTCGACTGCCAACCTATAGGTAACCCAACTGAACTCTTTACACAGATGCCACAGCTCGCTTCCACAGCTGAGCTAAGATAAAACATTCCAACTCTCCCTCTAGGGGGTTTTGGGGCTGCACTGCAGAGGCAAAATGAGAAGGATCTTGTGATGTGGTTAAAGGAATCACGGGAAGCCTGGGTGGCTCCTATTCCTCCTTACTAATGGGAATTCTCTGTGATTTCCACTTTTCCAGCCTTATCTCCACCCTATTTCCCCAAACAGCTAATATTCCTTTTGAGCCAGAGAAGCCAACATTCCTTGAACTGTGCCATGCTTTTGCTCCCTCAATTCCTGGAATTCCACCTCCTCTGTACCCTTCCACATCCTTGCCAGCAGGAAGCTGGGACAGAACCTCTTCTCCTCCCAATGTAACCATATGCCCAGTAATTCCACACTGCTCCATTGTATCTGAACTTTATTCACAGCTGGCAAACCTCTGGGAAGGAGAACTCACCCCACTTTGGTCACTAATACAGTGTCCCACGGTAAGCAGCACCTACTTGGGGAATGCCTGCTGAGTTAAAACCCAAAAGACAGAATTTACTGGCACCTGCTCCAGGGATGTGCCAAACCTGTAGCATCTGCCTCAGCAAGAAATGCTAACCACACTGTCTACAACCCTCTGACAGGATATCCAGGCAGACATGACCACTGCACTGTCCGGTGAGCAAGGGGGACTTCAGGGCCAGACAAGGAAGAAATGGTTCAGGGAGAAAATGCCTCACACCTTCAGTCACTCCCCTTTTCTCTTTTCCCAGGTATGTTGCTCTCAATCCTTTCTACAAGTCTCCTTGTTCAGCTGTTGGCAGAACCATTCCTTAGTTTTCAAGGGTTTTGCTGCCAGTCCCACAGCAAGGTGCTCTGCAAAAGAGCAGCCCAATCCCTTCATTAACACTGGGGTTTTAACTTTGCTTTCTACCTTGACCACGTCCATGTATTTTGTCTGCACGGGGAATAGCGGGATGTCCTCATCTTTCTTGAGGGTTTTGTAAATCTTCTTAAAGTTGATCACATCCTCAGGCCCAATGAGCATCAGGCTGAGACCTTCACTGGCAGCTCGAGCAGTTCGACCACTTCGGTGGACATAAATCTCCGAGGTACGTGGGACCTGCCACAGGAAGAACTGGGAGATCAATACATGGCCACTGCCAAACACTGGTCCTCTCCTCAGGGCCACATCTCCAAACCGGACCCTCCTACCTCCCAGCCAGGCAGGTAGAAACTTCTGCAGCATTGTAGAGCAACCTAGCCCACCTCTCTTAGTCCCACATTCAAAATGTTCCCAGGTTTAGCCCATTCACTGTGTAGGCTCTCCCCTCCCATGCCCCTCAACCTAGTTCAGGTCCTCAAGACCATGTAGCCAGACCACAGCAGTCACTTCTTATCCAGGATTTAAGCAGCCCAGCTCCACAGACCATGTTAATCCCTGGGTTACATTTCTATATATTTATTATCCATAGATAATGTGGCATGGTTGCTGACACACCCACTGAGCCCCTGGCACACACCATTAATCAAGCACAACAGTCTTCTCCACTGGGCCCAGATAACAACTAGGTATTCTTTTCAATATAATACTTTAAGCAGCCACTATGAACTGTTCATAAGAGCTCTAGAAATGAGATTTGCCATTCTTTACTTATAAGATAAAGGCCCAACTCTTCAACCTGACACTCAGGGCCTTTAGTGACTTGCCTCCAACTTACCCCTCCAGCCTCAGCAACTATTCCTTTCCCAACACATCCCCTCTTTTCACTCTGAGCCAAGTGCCCCTGAACACTGCCCATTTCTTTGCTCCTTCCTTTAATGCCTCTACATGTCCAAATCCTCTCCACCCTTAAATGCCAGGCATCTTTTAAAAAGTACTTTCCAACCTCCCAAACTAGAAGTTACCTCTCTTCCATTGTATTTGGTAATTTTCTAATACCTTCTGCCTTAAATTATGGCTGTGGTCATCTCACCTCCTCTGCTGGATCCAATACTTCTTAGGGGCTGGGAGTGTATTTGATTCATCTTGACTCCACAAAGGTTGACCCAACTCCTTCCCCAAAAAAGGGAAGACTATAGAGATTTGCTAAACCAAAATTAGCACCTGTGATACACTGAGATATGTTTTTCTCTTCATCCTGTTTCCTGGCAAAGGAATCTCAAAAGTAATGTCTTTTTGTAAGCTAATGACAAACTACTGACCGATGGCTGATAGCCCCCTAGGTAGTTTCAGGATGGGGGCTGGTCACCAGAAAGGCCAAGGCGGGATTAGAAGGTTGGGACTTTCAGTGCTACTTCCCAAAGGCCAATGGTTTAATTAATAATCTTACCCAATGAAGTCTCCATAAATATCCCAAAAGGACAGAGTTTGGAGAACTTTTGAATAAGCTGAATATGTGGACATTCCTGGAGGGTGGGGTACCCAGGAGGGGCATGGCAACTCCATGCTCCTTCCCCTATACCTCAGCCTATACATCTCCCCATCTATATTCTTTCTAATATCCTCTATAATAAACTGGTAATGTGTTTTAGTTCTGAGAGCTGCTGTAGCAAATTAATTGAACCCAAAGAGGGGGGTCAAAGGAACCCCAACTTGAAGCTGGTTGGTCAGAAGTTCCAGAGGCCCCGACTTATAGACTGGTCACGGGGAGGAGGGACATCTTGTGGGATCTGAGGCCATCTCCAGGAAGACAGCATCAGAAAATGAAACTAAATAAGAGGACACCCAGCTGGAGGCTACTGCTTGATATGTGGTGAAAAATGCCCACACGTTTGGTTACAGAAGTCTTCTGTGTTGATTGTTGTTGTGAAGTGAGAGAATGGGAAAAAGCACTTTGAGTTTGTTGTTTCACTGAAACAGCAGCCTAAAAGATTTTTAAAAGCACAAAGAGGAATTAAAGAGAAAAAATAATAATGCCATAACAGCTACCATTTATTGAGTACTTACACTGTGCTACCGGCTTCATGAGCATCAGCTCAATTTAATTCTCAGGATAACCCTATGGGGTAGCTAGCATTGTTACTTCCAGTTTACAAACGATGACACTGAAACCAGAGGTACTAAATAACTTGCCTAACGCTAACCAACTATGAAGCAGCAGACTGGGGATTCAAAGCCTGGCAGTCTGGTTCCGGTGCCCATACTCCTAACCACAGCTTTATGCTGATATTCACTAGATGCACAAATTAATATTACTGCTACTATCAATGGCAGTTAACATGAGTAAGTGCTTACAATGTGCCAGGTGGCTTCTTAAGCTCTTTATACTTAGTAACTTATTTTACCTCAAGAACCCTAAGAAGCAGGTACTCACTGCCATTTAACACATGAGAAAACTGAGATACAGAGAGATTACATGACTTGTTCAAGGTTACACAGCTGGGATTTGAGCCCAGAGAGATCTAAACTACCACACTCTTCTATTCATACTTCTCTACATCAGGGTAACCAATTACAAGCTTAACTTATGCCCATTTCACAGAAAAAACTAAGACTCTAACCTGACAATATCAAGTAGCTTGGAGAGAAGGGCTGCTTGACATCAGACAAAGCAAGGTTTTCTGGAAACCAAATCTCAGCAGTGTTCCAAAAAGTGGGAGTAGTGGGCACTCGATGCCAGTGGTATTCTCTGATGCAAGAGCTTTAGAACCAACAATTCCTCCTCCCTCCCCCAACCTTTGCCTTAAAATTTCCCGATTCAATGCAGGCAGATGCATATACATTTTCAGATGCCCCTACCTGGTAATGGATGACATGCTGGACTTTAGGAATATCCAGACCCCGAGCTGCCACATCTGTTGCCAAGAGAACACAGCTGGGGTAGAGAGAGAAAGCTTATTAATAATAACTAACAGCTATCTTTAATCAAATTCTTACCAACTGCTGAGCATCCTAAACATTACAGTCCTTACCAATACTCTGTAAGATATCACTTCTATACCCTTTTGCAAAAAAACTGAGGCTCCGAGAGATTAACTTCCCAAGGTATGTACATGGCTATTCAGTTGTGGAGTCTGGATCCAAATTTGGGACTCACTGACTCCAACTAACATGCCATACTCTGCAATGATAAAAAAACTTCCTCCAGTGAGTTAAATGAGGCCATACATATTCTGGGTCAGTGACCTCCTATCCCATCACCCTCTCACTTCCTCCCAGTGGCACAGACTTCCTTGTTCTTCCCCAAACAAACCAAGCATGCTCTCACCTCCAAGCCTTTGCACTTGTTACTCCTTAGGCCTTAAAGGGTCTTGCCTCAAATATCCATATGACTCACTTTATTACTTTCTTCAGCTCTCTGCTCAATTTTCACTTCATCAGAGAAGCCTCCCTGACCACACATACCCAATCTCTTTTCTCCAACCCTTGCTCGACTTACTTCTTAGGATCACTTGGTACACTATGGACTTACTTTGCAATTTATTATCTCGCTCTACTAGAATGTAAGCTCCATGAGAGCAGGGACTTTGCATTACTCACTGCTGTATAACCACCACATAGAAACAACCTCTGGTTCATTGTAATCACTTGATAAATGTGTTGGATGATGTTTCTCAATGTGTGGTTCATGGAAAGTCAAAAGTACTTGAGGTGCTTCAAAACATAAGATTCTGGCCCTTCAGGATCCTCACTCCCTGCATTTCTGAGCTGAGGCCGGGAAACGCAATGCAAATCCTAGTTTGTAAAACATTAAACTACTGCTCTGGGTCAAGATCAGCAAACTTTTTCTGTAAAGAGCCAGAGAGCATTTCCAGCTTTGTGAACAACATAAGTCTCCATGGCAACTATTCAACTCTGTCGCAAAAGCAGATACTGACAATACATAAATGGGTCTTGCTGTGTTCCAGTAAAACATCTACTAAAAAAACAGGCGGCAGCCAGGTGTGATGGCATGCATTGGTAGTCCTAGCTACTTAGGATGCTAAGGTGGGATTGTTTGAGTCCGTGAGTTCAAGTCTAACCTGGGCAACACAGCAAGACTCCATCGCAAAAAGGAAAAAAAAAGGTAGCAAGGAAGAAGATTTGGCATGAGGGCTATAGTTTGCCAAGCTTTGTTCTAAGCTAATCTCAGTAAACCACTGATACTACTTACCAATTTTTTAAAACAAGTAAATCAAACACTTGTTCTAAAAACTAACTACCCTGTGACCTGACAAAACACTAGCAAAGGACACTTTATAGTCTGCCTCAACTTCCCAGGCCCTCGTCTTGACAGGCCCAATCTGGACCCCATTCCCTGAGCATCAGCCTGGTCCAAAGGCAGATGGACAAAGACATCAGGAATAAGACACAGCATGGGTCCTGAGGTCCAACAGGCTTGTCTGAGGCCTCGTTCTACCACTTCCAGGCACAGAAACCTTGGGCAGACTGATCGGCTTTTCTAGACCTCATTTCTTCATCTATAAATGAGAATAGTGATAATGGTAATAAGTAGTAATAGAAGAAGAAATTATTAAAGCTAACATTGAGCAATATACATAAACTATATGCTAGAGACTGTTCTAAATACTTTACACGCATGAATTTACAATCACTTAATCTTCATAACAACCCTATAATGGGTTCTATTATTATCCCAAAAATGAGAAAATTAAATTACAGAGAAGTTAAATAACTTGACCACCTAAGGAGTAACACAGCTAGGATTTGATTTCAGGCATTCTGGTTCCAGGATCTGTGCTCTTAACCATGAATCTATTCTGCTTCCTCTTAAGGATGTTAGGAGAGTAACTGAATGTGATTCTGAATCTGAAGTGCCAGCATAGGACCTAATCTATTGTCTATATATTCAATATTATGTATTGTCACCCATATTCATTAGTATTGAAGCTTCTGTATGGCATTTAACAGCAACCAAATCCACTAAAAGAGTAACCTTGCCAAATGCTGTGCAAAAAAAAAAAAAAGGCTACCTACTACTGAGATAAGGCCCCTATGACAGAAGGTGGCTTTTCTACCATTTCTCCACCACCCTGACCCCTTTTACCCCAGTAACTAACTAGAGGTTAAGCCTCTGGGGACAGTCCTAACTTACTCTTCCAGACGGGCAAACTGCTCCAGGTTTCTGAGCCTCTGCTTCTGGTGCATACAGGCATGTAGGGTCAAGGGCATGATATCAAGGACTTTGAGGAGCCCAGAGAGGCGTTTGATGCAGGAGATGCTGTTGGCAAACACTAAGCTGCGGCCTGGATACTGCATCAGGAAGTAGTACAAGTAGAAGTCTTTCTCATCAGTCTCACAATGGATCTTGGTCTCTGTTAGCGTCTCCACCGTGGCCTCATTCCTTGTGAGGTCAATGACCTTGGGCTTGCCCCTCATGCCAATTTTCTGCATAAGAAGGTCAAGTTTGGCTGTTTTGTCCATTTTCTTGGTGTGCTTCTTATGAAGGATTCGAGCAGGAGCCTGATGTACCAGGGTGAGCGTGGCAGAAAAAACAAGCGTTTGTCTCTTTGGGTTGTATTGGGAGTCATTGAGCATCTCTAGCAACTGTGAGAGCTCAGCAAAATGACCTTTCTCAACCATCCGGTCAGCCTCATCCACCACCAGGCACCTGCAGATCCAGAGAGACCCATATCATCAGTCAGTAGCAGGTTAAGAGGAATCATCTACAGCACACCCTACTCTCATCCTACACATGACCTTGGGCTTGCTCCCCTCATGCCAATTTTCTGCATAAGAAGGTCAAGTTTGGCTGTTTTGTCCATTTTCTTGGTGTGCTTCTTATGAAGGATTCGAGCAGGAGCCTGATGTACCAGGGTGAGCGTGGCAGAAAACAAGCGCTTTGTCTCTTTGGGGTTGTATTGGGAGTCATTGAGACCCTATAACTGTGAGAGCTCAGCAAAATGACCTTTCAACCATCCGGTCAGCCTCATCCACCACCAGGCACCTGCAGATCCAGAGAGACCCATATCATCAGTCAGTAGCAGGTTAAGAGGAACTACTCACAGCACACCCTACTCTCATCCTACACACACACACACACACCACTACCACCACCACACCGGGCCTCAACTACTCTTCCTCATGCACTCTTGGCAGGTTAAGAGGAACTAATCTACAGCACACCATACCTCATCCTACACACACACACACACACACACACACACACACACACACACACAGGTTAAGAGGAATCATCTACAGCACACCCTACTCTCATCCTACACACACACACACACACCACTACCACCACCACATCGGGGCCTCAACTACTCTCCCTCATGCACTCTTGGCTTTCTAAAGGCCAGGGTCTGGATGATACCACACCATGGCATTCTGCAATGGGAAGAAGGCATTGCACACACCATGTCACCTGAAGCTCATTTCAGAAAAGGCAGTGAGGGGGAAAAGAGAAGTACCATCTATTACCTGAGCTGCCGAAGGTTCCTCAAATGATAATGCTTTTCTTTAATTAATTCCCACAGCCGGCCTGGAGTGGCAACCACAATCTCAGGACGACGGCTCAGCATCCTCTGCTGTTTCTGCGTGGACATTCCACCAACCAAAATAGCAGTTTTAATTCCTATGGGACAGAAAACATAAGGGACACTCATTCAATCTGGGTGATCATTTTCTTACATGGCTGACACAGGCACCCCAGATTACCAGAGACAGTCATCAGCACAGTGTAATGCTCTAGAGCACTGCTAAAAGAGCAGGCCTGGCCAGACTGTTGGTGCCACTCCTACAGGGCTTACCAAGTCTTCTGTGATCTGGGCCCTACTTCTTCAACCTCATTTCTTTCCTGCTCCCTCCCCTCCAACCACACCAAAGAGGATGAATTTGAACCCAGGTATGCTTACCTCCAAAGCTCTGGGAAAACTGAGCACTGGTGCACCATAATGCTGAGGGGAATATGAGCTGCAGCTGTGCTATACCTCTCCTATTTCCCTCAATTATAATTATTCTGAAAGGTCCTCTAATGCCCTGTTGTTTTCTTCTCTGATGGAGAAGTTCTCATAGTATCATGCAGGTAAAGGGCTTAGCAATAGTAACAATTTGGTAATTAACTGCTTCTATTATAAAATTAAAATTCCCAGAGTGAAGACCTTCCCAGAGTGAATTCCCTGAGAGAATTAAATCCTAACTGCTTATAGCAGGGATCAGCCAACTTTTTCTGAAAGGGTCACTAGTAAACATTACTGGCCTCATAGGCCAGATGGTCTCTGTCACAACTATTAACTCTACTCAACTTCACCTTTGTAGTACAAAACTAACCACAGACGATATAAAACCAAATGGGTGTGGGTGTATTCCAGTAAAACTTTATTTACAAAACCGGACAGTTTGCTAATCCCTGCCCTGAGCATCTACTGTATCCAATAAATTTCCTATGCATCTACAATGGCACCAACTATGTATTGTCCTTGAGGGAACTGAAAAAATGTCACTCAATCAATTTTCTCTAGGGCTTGATTGTCTGGCTCACAGATGAGAATGGCTTACCCTAGAGGGCAGGAGCCACAGCTCATTCATCTTTACCAATGAGCATTTGGGATTTGCCTAGAAAGGATTTATTAAATGGAACTAAACCTCACCTGTAAACCTGGCCACAGCATCAATGTGCTGTTTGACCTGGACAGCCAGCTCTCGAGTGGGAGTCAGAACCAGTCCAAGCAGAGGACGCTTTGGAAATGCCTTACAGGTGGCGCTTTTGTCATCCGACTCTTGTTTTAGATTTCCAGTCTGCTCTTTATCAAGATTTTCCTCCTCATTCTCATTCTGTTTGGGAACAGGCTTCTCCCTGATCAGGGAAGAAGGCCCTTCACCAGCATCATCGTCACCAAAGAGCAATGCCTGGTCTGAGCCAGTGCCTCCAGTCTTGGCTCTGGCCTCGGCTGCAGTATCACTGGGCAGTGCTTCACTCTCAATTATAGTATCATCAGGCAATGCTCCAGACTCAGCTTCAGCCTTGCCTGGTGATCCAGTCTCAGCTCCGGCCTCAGTTCTGGTCTCTCCAGGTGATGCGTCAGTGTTACTTGGAGGAGGGGCAGCATTCCTCTTCTGCCACTGCAATACTGCATGAATCACTGGGATGGCAAAGGCAAGAGTTTTCCCACTTCCTTAAAAGTAAAAAACAAAACAAAATAAAAACAGTGTGAATCAACAGATGAACATACTTTAGTCTGGAATTCATTCTTTTGCACAGAATAAGGTAGCCAAGTTTACGTGACTGACCCAAAGCTCCTCCACTCTACACAGATTTCCCCAGATGGAACCAGAAGGCACAAGTAAATTAGAAACTGAGGAAAAAAAGTATGGCAGGCTAGCACTGAGGTCTTAGGTCACCAGTAATGGATTACTAATGTCCAAGAAATGAAAAAATAAAGAGATAAAGGGCAAGTTTTGGGTGTATGTGTTGTTTTTGTGAGGAGTGGGAAGCAGTAATCTACACAACACTTTCCCAAGACTTTTCTTTGGTGAGAAAGGAGGGAGTAAAAGAAAATTTTCTCAAGTTTTCAGAAAACGTAAATATAAAATTATCTTTTGTCTATGTCTGAACATTTTCAAACTGGTCTTTGAATGTACACAGAGTCCAAATCGTCTGGGTGGTTAAAACAAAACATCTCGGGCTGAGAATTTAAAGAAGTTCCAAAGTGATAATGCCCTAGGCAGAAGCCAATAAATGCTTTCTCAAGGGAGAAACCATTATTATAGATCTCCAAAAATTTTCACAATTTGCAAAGGAAACAAGCAGCTCTCAGTAAAAAATTACCACACACACAAAAATAAGATACTATAAGGAAAAGAGAGCAAAAACACATAAAACTCTTGATAAGAAGAACAGCAGACTTTTTATCAGAAACAACTAAAAGCCAGAAGACAGTGTAGCAATATTTTTTATTTGAATACCTAAAGACAAAAAAAAAAAAAAAAAAAAAAACCAACCTGACAATCTGTAACTCTACACCCAGCAAAATTCTCTCTCAAAACAAAATGTGAAATAAAGACTTTAGGCATATAAAACCTGAAATAATTCACCAGCAGCAAATGTGAGCTATCAGAAATATTAGTCTTTCATGCAATTGAAAAGATAATATAAAATGAAAATCTGGATGTACCCAAAGAAATAATGAGCAACCGAAACAGTAACTACGTAGGTAAATATTTAAAAACTTTTTATGGCCAGGCATGGTGGCTCATGCCTGTAATCCCAACACTTTGGAAGGTCTAGGTGGGAGGATCAAGACCAGCCTGGGCAACATAGTAAGACTCCCATCTTTAAAAAAAATTGCCAGACATGGTGGCACACTCCTGTAGTCTTCATAACTTGAGAGGCTGAGGCAGGAGGATTGTTTGAGCACGGGAGGTTGAGGCTGCAGTGAGCCATGATCATGCCACTGCACTCTAGCATGGGTGACAGAGGGAGACACTGTCTCTAAAAACAAACAAAAACCCAAAACCCCTTATTTTTCTCATTTAAACATCTTTAAAAACAATTGTTTAAAGCAAAGATAATAAAAATGTATTCTGGAATCTCTAAAACATATGAAGTATACAACAAAAAGCACAAAGGAGGAGAGAAACAAATATATTCTTGTAAGATTCTTATGTTGTATGTGAAGTAGTAAATTACTTGAAGGTAAACTATAATAAAATTAAAGATATATACTATGAACCCCAAAACAATCACTAAAAAGACATAAGAATTATAGCTAATAAGACAACAAAAAAGATAAAATGGTATCTATGCATATACATATATATATATAAAAAATAGTCTCTGTCCCTAGTTCTTGATACAGTGCTTCTAAAAGCCTTGTAACTTTCTGAGTGATAGGAGCATCTTTTGTTGAAATATTTGGTCTTAGTCCTCAGTTGCTGATATAAAACCTTGTGAGACTTTCAGCTGCCTCTCCCCAATAACCTTCAGGGAGGGAAGAAGGGACTGGAGACTGAGCTCAGTCACTAACAACCAATGATTTAATCAATTATCAATCATGCCTATGCAATGGAAACTCCACAAAATCTCTAAACAATGGAGTTCGGAGAGATTCCTGGGTGGTCTCCCCAGGGACGATGGAAACTCCATGCTCTATCTCTCCTGACTTCCAACCCTGCCCCATACCCTTCCCTAGTCTTCTCATCCATCTGGCTGTTTCTCAGTTACATCTTTTATAATAAATTGTTAAATGCAAGTAAAGTGTTTCCCTGAGTTCTGTCAGGCATAGCAAAGTGTTGAACCTGAGGAAGGTGTTGTGGGAATACCCAATTTGTAGCCAAGCTGATCAGAAGTACCAGTATTTGTGATGAGCATCATTAATGGGGGCAACCTTGTGAGCTGAGCCCTTAACCTGTAAGGAATGACACTAACTCTAGGTAGATAGTGTCTGAATTGAACAGAATTCACACACACATACACACACACACAATTCAGTGCCAAAGAAGGAAACGAAAAAGAGCTGGGACTAATAGAAAAGTAACAGAGTTAAACCCAACCATTGATGTGGCTCCCAGGAGGCAGGACTAGATTGCAGCTCCTGAAAGAGCAGTAAGCGGAGGCTTGCACTGTGAGTTTTAGCTCCAGATTGACTGCAAGAACAAACCAGTAATCCCAAGAAGACCCACAGACCCTCTGAAGGAAGTGGACTGCTCCTGCAGGACCCAGGAGACCCCCAAATACTGTGAGTGCCCCAAATGTGGAGAGGAGGGAGACCCTCCTCTCCCAAACGCACACCCCCACTGGAGAAGCTGAAGGTCCGTTTGCGGGAGAAGTTTCTGACTTTACCTGAACCTGAGTCAAGTTAGAGAGCTGAGCGAAATACAGGGGTAGAGGAAGCAGCAGAAAGGCCCTGGGAGCTCGCTGGGTCCCCAAGCAGCCCATTCCTGCCTGGCACCACAGGGATCCATTTAGCAGGTGGCCAGAGGAGCAGGGGGTAAAACTTCACAGAAAGAAGGCATTCTGTAGCCAAACTCTGTAACAATTTGATGTAACAATCTGAAGAGGACCAGAAGCCTCCCGGCCAGAACTTGGGGGGAGAGCAGGAATCCAGACTTCATAGGCAGGGGAAGAACTAAAGCCCTTTTCTTTCACAGCTGGAAAGTGGATAGCCTTGGGCAAGTTTTCAAGCCCTCCCCCTGGAAACAGACAGGGGCTGTTGGGGAAGATATGGTGAGAGTGAGACCTGCCCTTCAGTTTGTGAGGGAGTTGGGAGCTGGGTGAGGCCTGTGACTGCCGGCTTTCCCCCATTTCCCTGACAACCTGCATGACTCACCAGAGGTAGCCATAATCCTCCTAGGTACACAACTCCAGTGACCTGGGAATCTTACCCCCATCCCCAAAACAGCCACAGCAAGACCCACCCAAGGAAAGTCTGAGCAGGTGTAGACCTGCCCCCACCTGACGGTCCTTCCCTATCCACCTTGGTAGTGGAAGACAAAGGGCATATAATCTTGGGAGTTCTAGGGCCCCACCCACCGCTGGTCCCTCTCCACACTATAGCTGATGCTTTCTGGCAAGTGCCACCTCCTGGCAGGAGGCCAACCAACACAAAAATAGAGCATTAAACTACCAAAGCTAAGGACCCTCAGAGAGTACAATGCATCCTCTGCCATCTCCACTGGAGCAAGCGCTGGTATCCATGGCTGAGATCCCCATAGCCGGTTAACATCACAGGACTCTGTGCAGACAACCCCCAGTACTAGCCCAGAGCCGGGTAGGCTTGCTGGGTGGCTTGACCCAGAAGACAGACAACAATCACTGCAGTTTGGCTCACAGGAAGCCACATCCAGAGGAAAAGGGGGAGAGTACTACATCAAGGGAACACCCCATGGGACAAAAGAACCTGAATAACAGCCTTCAGCCCTAGACCTTCCCTCTGAAAGAGCCTACCAAATGAGAAGGAACCAGAAAACCAACCCTGGTAATAAGACAAAACGGGGCTCTTCAACACCACCCCCCACCAAAAAAAAAATCACACTAGTTCACCAGCAATGGATCCAAACCAAGAAGAAATCCCTGACTTACCTGAAAAAGAATTCAGGATGTTAGTTATTAAGCTAATCAGGGAGGGACCAGAGAAAGGTAAAGCCTCAATGCAAGGAAATCCAAAAAATGATACAAGAAGTGGAAGGAGAAATATTCGAGGAAATACATAAAGGCAGAACAATAAAAAGGAAATTCTGGACATACTTTTAGAAATGCGAAATGCTGTGGAAAGTCTCAGCAATAGAACTGAACAAGTAGAAGAAATTCAGAGCTCAAAGACAAGGTCTTCAAATTAACCCAATCCAAGAAAGACAAAGAAAAAAGAATAAGAAAAAATGAACAAAGGCTCTAAGAAGTCTGGGATTATGTTAAATGACCAAACCTAAGAATAATTGGTATACCTGAGGAAGAAGAGAATGCCAAAAGCTTGGAAAACATATTTGGGAGAATAATTGAGGAAAACTTCTCCAGTCTTGCTAGAGACCTAGATATCCAAATAAAAGAAGCACAAAGAACACCTGGGAAATTCACTGCAAAAAGATCTTCGCCTAGGCACATTGTCATCAGGTTATACAAAGTTAAGATGAAGGAAAGAATTTTAAGAGCTGTGACACAGAAGCACCAGATAACCTATAAAGGAAAACCTATTAGATTAACAGCAGACATCTCAGGAGAAACCCTACAAGCTAGAAGGGACTGGGGCCCTATCTTCAACCTCCTCAAACAAAACAATCTTCAACCAAGAATTTTGTATCCAGCAAAACTAAGCATCATATATGAAGGAAAGATACACAAAATAAACAACCGCTTTCAGATAAACAAATGCTGAGAGAATTTGCCATTTACCAAGCCACCATTATAATAAGAACTGCTAAAAGGAGCTCTAAATCTTGAAACAAACCCTGGAAATATATCAAATCAGAACAACCTCTTTAAAGTATAAAGTAAAAATCACACAGGGCGCAGAAATACAAGTTAAAAAGTAAAAAGAAAAAACAAAACTAAAGTACACAGGCAACAAAGAGCATGATGAACGCAAGGGTACCTCACATTTCAATACTAACATTGAATGGAAATGGCCTATATGCTCCACTTAAAAGATAAAGAACTGCAGAATGGATAAGAACTCATCAA